CGGTTCAGTTCGCCCCATGGAGAGTTGTTGTCTGCTCGGCGTACTCTGCCCATTAGGTCCCAAAATGTATCGTAACGACCCAATAATATATTGTGTTTAGACAGATGGCCCTGCGTGGGTAAAGCATCTGACGCCGAGTAGTGCCACCAGTTTAGACAAGGGGAGGAAGTAAGAGAGGTGGCCAAGGACGCGGCGACACATGGCCAACAGATGACTTGGCTTGGGTGAAGCATCTGACGCCGAGTAGTGCCACCCGTTTAGACAACGGGAAGACATTATGCAGACAGATGATTCCGCATGTGTTTACTAGCTTTTGAAATGATGTTTGTTGTTTGCTGATGAAATCGAACTGCATGACTGAATATTTGTAGCGAGGAAAAATTAGGGGTTTTTTTAATATTTCATACATAGGCGGTTATATGAACACAAAATACTGATGGCTGGATTGTGATGTAAGTGTAATGATGGGTCACTGCTCGGCATAGGGTGAAGGTGGCAGGAACTACTCGGGTCGTGTCAGTCTAGACTGTATGATTGTTTCTTCAAGGCCATGAGCATACACGCGTGTTTCCCCAATGACCGACTACTACTGTTTGATACGACTACTCAATCCATCCGTTAGATGCGCATCCACGCGTGTTATTTATTACATTTGCACAGTCTTAACTGTTCGATATCACTATACTCATTACGATCTACGTTTGTTCTTTATGACTAATTCAACTTTACGATCTACGAATTTTAGATACGACTATTTTTTTACGACTACTCGATGCAAATTATCACTACGTATCAAAAGACCCGATTACTACGACCAAAATGTAATGGTGGGTCATGTCAGTCCAGACTGTTTCCTCTATGACTGACTACTACTACTGTTCGGTCAATCCATATGTTCGACATGCGCATAAACACGTGTTATTATTACATACACTCTTAACTATACGATCTACGACTGTTCGATATGACTACTCACTCAACTTTACTATCTACGACTGTTCGATATGACAAATCATTCAACTGTGGACTTACGACTATTCGATGCAAATCACTACGAGTCTACGACAATATTTATCAAAATACTCTTTCGATTGGTCACAACAAGTTCACTCACAGGATATTTGTTGGGATATATTATAATATTTGTACTGTACGATCTACGACTGTTCAACTGTGGAGTTACGACTATTCGATGCATATTATCACTACGACAATATTTATCAAAATACTCTTTCGACATGCAGGATCTGTTCCTCGAGATGACGAAACGTCTTACTGGTTCAAAAAAACGGGTTGACGAAACGTTTCATGTCAGAAGCACGTTCCAGCACGTTCAAGTTGAAGGAGTAGTGATATCGAACAGTCGTAGATCGTACAGAAAAGCGGGATACAGAAAGAGATAGATTCACATAGAGTTTCCCTCCTCGATAAGCACTCCCTATATACCTATTTTCAACCTTTCAAATTTGAATAAATAAGGGGATCCCCCAATTATATTCCCGCGGCAGGTTATTTTTCAAAACCGTTCGATAAGCACTGTCGCAGGTTATGCAGGTCACTTTTGTTAAAAAGACACGTCCGACAGGTCTTGGGAAATATTTCGCAGGACCTGCATTTTGTAGGTTTTTTTTTGTTCAAGACTACTTTTTAGGGTTTCAGACATTGTTATCTCTTCAACCTACTTTTTAGGTTTCGGACATTGTTGTCTTTCGATAGTATCTTTTTTTTGTCCAGTTTGCACATTTCCTTCTTTTGGGGGCATCATTTGCAACATTTTCCAGCCCATCTCCTGCACAACATATCGCATTACCAATTGATTGACTTCGATCACGAGAAGATTGATTTCGATATCATTGGGTCGTAACATATGTTGGTCATTTCATAATACTAATACACCCAGACCTAAAGTTATTTTGATTTAAAGTTTATTTGTCAAACGGGCCAATTGAAACATATTGGGCGTAACGGTACATGAGCCTTAATGATTAATTGGGTCGTAACGGTAGAATATTATTGACTCTCTGAGTAGTGAGACGATAAAAGGAGTGATCGAAACGCATAGGTCGCAACGGTAATATTACGACCAATTTTAATCAATGACGACTCATTAACGAATATTGAAGTACTACGACCAAGTTAACTAAATAAAAAAATAATATACGACTCAACCGAAAATATAAATAAGTTCAAGATTAAAAATAACTTTAAGATAGTGGTAGCATCAGGTCCAAATGTAAACGGTAAAGAAAAAACAATTAAAAACGGTAACACAGGATCATGGCTCAGCTCCGCCGTCAGGGTTCGACTTCGCGTACCGCACGTCAAATCCTCCCACTCCACGTCCTGATTTCTCTTCTTAGCAGGTCCGCCTCATGGTACAGGACCTGCATAAAGCGAAAGCGAAACCCGCCGCAGTCCCAGCAATCGAGCTCTTCTGTCAGGACGATGATCTTCCAATGGCTCCGTGGGAGGGAGCTGAGCGTAAGCAGCAGGCACCGGCTCCTCATCCGCCGTTGATCGAGCTCTTCTGTGAGGACGATGATCTTCCAATGGCTCCGTGGGAGGGAGCTAAGCGTAAGCAGCAGGCACCTGCTCCTCATCCGCCGTTGATCGAGCTCTTCTGATAGGACGATGATCTTCAAATGGCTCCGTGGGAGGGAGCTGAGCGTAAGCAGCAGGCACCGGCTCCTCATCCGCCGTTGATCGAGCTCTTCTATGAGGACAATGATCTTCCAATGGCTCCGTGGGAGGGAGCTGAGTGTAAGCAGCAGGCACCGACTCCTCATTCGCCGTTGATCGAGCTCTTCTGATAGGACGATGATCCTCCAATGGCTCCGTGGGAGGGAGCTGAGCGTAAGCAGCAGGCACCGGCTCCTCATCCGCCGTTGATCGAGCTCTTCTGTGAGGACGATGATCTTCGAATGGCTCCGTGGGAGGGAGCTGAGCGTAAGCAGCAGGCAGCGGCTCCTCATCCGCCGTTGATCTTCTAGTACGAGAGATCGCTTCCAGGATCCTTCGCTCCATGGAATGCATTTCAGCCATCAACCGTTCTTCCGATGCTGGGGTGGAGTGAGGTAAAAATGAGACAACGACTAATGTGACTCACGACCTACTAAGTCCCACCTGCTAAAAGAGTTCTATATTCTTTACGACCCTCCTGATTGATGACGACCCTCTCCTGATTCTCTACGTACGTATGTCTCTACGACCCTTCCGACTATTATCCACTACGACCCTTCTGACTATTAAGCAAGCCCTAAACCCTAAACCCTAGAGCATCAGGGTAGAATATACACTTCGCTCCATGAGACCGTTTCCGCAAACCCGTGATATCATGGGAAATTTTCGATATACTTACATGTCCCAATGAAGCATGCGCCGCTGAAGCACTCGCTTCACCACGGTCCCAGTTTCTTCTTTTTTCCTTTCCCGGCCGCCGGGATGAACGTCGTTCTTCAGATGATGACGGTGACATCCTCGAGTAGATTTGCGTTTTCGCCTCTCTGGACCTCAACCTCTGCCCTCTGGTATGTAAAATATGTAAAAGTTTAACCTTTCCGTTTTTCCTCTCGTGCGATCTATTTTACGGACATCAAATGGGGCAACCGCATCGTCGTCCGCTGTCTACACGCTTCACTATGAAGTGTTTTTTTATAACGCCCCATCGTAAATTTTCAATTTTTAATTAATTAAGGGCATTTTAGTCTTTTTTAATCATGCGGCGGATCGGCAAATCTAAGGTCGAGGTAACGGCGGTATCGAGCGGCGGATCGGCAAATCTAAGGTCGAGGTAACGGCGGTATCGAGAGGCGGATCGATAAATCTAAGGTCGAGGTAAGATGAGGTGCGTCGGTTATGGGTCTGAGTTTTCTGATCTGGTGTGCGAGTGGTTTTCAGATGAAAGAATCGAAGAAGTCAAGGCCATCTCGTGGTTGATCGGCGGTCGGCACCGGTGGAGAGGCTCAGATCGGCGGCGAAAGAGGTAAGAAACTCTCGGATCTAACTCGGACTGAGTAAATCGGCTGAGTTAGAACCCGAGGAAGGTGAGTCGTGATTGCGCGTGGGTAGATCTAGGTTTTGGACGGAAAAACCGGTGGAGAACCGGCGATTTGCTGGCGAAATCGGTCGTGACTCACCGAGTCACGGCTGAGTCAGAAAATCAGGGTGATCAAACACCGCGTTGACTAGGGTGACTCGGCGGCTTCCTCAATCCGAAATTAGGTTTTTCGGTTTAGACTGGTTTAGCCGGTTTAAATCCAATTAAGTAATTAAACCCAGTTCGATTAACATTCGTACCGGTTTAGGTTCGTCAGGTCAAACCGGTGACCAAAATTGGTTAACAGTTGACCGGTTAGGTCAAACCGGTCCGGTTCAGGTCAATTAGGCCGGTTCAGGTCCAGTTTGGGGTCAATTGGACCGGTTCAGACCTGTTCGGGTCAGTCTAAGTCTGAATTATTTACACTAAATGCATTTTAACAAAATCTTGGAGGTTCATTTTCATCACGACCTGCTCAAGTTGAATAATCGATAGAAAATTTTAAAAGAAAAACGAAGAAAGAATCTATACAAAATTATAAAAGAATGAAAAAAAAACACGTTCCACGACGTGCAGGTCTTGAAATCCGACCTGCAGGTCGTCAACCCTTATATAGCAGGTCGCTTAGCGATTCAGAATATGTTAGAATTAGATTACGCTGCACTACGTGCAGGTCTTGAAACCCGAACTGCAGGTCGTCAACCAACCGTGCAATTTATAAATGACTTGCACCATCCTTAGTTCGTTAGAAATAGTTAATAAGCGACTTGCACCATGCGCAATCGTCACAGCGACAACGACCGGACCTACATTCAGATTGGGTCGTATTTTTAATAGAACCCGATTAGTTGTACTAAGTGTCGTCATTAAATGCAAACACGACCCGATATATACCGATACGACCCATGTGATCCCGCTGCAACCTTTTCAACTGTATCGTTAGGAATGATTGATAATATTGTTTCACTCCGAATAATATTGTTTTAGGTACGACACGATTCAAGCATCTCACAAGTGCATCTTGTTCCCAAAACTTATGGCTACGACCCAAAATATATCGTTATGTGGTTGGAAGAAGGTGTTGCTTCCACCACCGAAGGTACTTCGTCTTTGTTCGTGTGCTTCCTTTTACCCTCTCTCGTGCTTTACCCGGAAGAGGTATCAGAAGACCGAATTTTTTCAATTTCGCGTACCTTTTTTGTTTTCTCTATTACACACACCCGCAGGTTGTTAGGCAGGTTCCCTGTTGCACTTGCCTATTGCACGTTATTGGTCTCGTCGTCAATTTTCAATTGCATGTTCTTGTTCAATCTTCAGTAGATTTTCTCCATATTTCGTTCTGTTGGTTCGTCATTTGTAACCTATTCCCCCGTATTCATTCCATATATCCCCCACTGTATATATCTAACAACTATCGTCACCTTATCGCTCTTTCGGCCAGATCTATCCTTTTAAGGTACTACTAATTCACCTTTATGCATCGTAGCTTTTGTTTCTTCTTGATAGGTTGAGAATCATCTTTCTTCAGCGGATACCATCATATCCTTCCCCGCATGTTAGATCCCACCGATGTACAAGATGTGGTAAAATGGGACACAATAGAGCCAATTGCAAAGAAGCCATTTGAATGTTGAAAGAAAGTATGTTGTATGTATAATTTTAAAGATAAAAACCTTGTTGTATAAGATTTATAACTTGCACGTTATGATCTAGTCTCACTGTCGGCTGTGTTGTAGGACCTGCTTCGACTCATCAAGACCTGCATTTCATTTGACCTCCACGTTGCATTCTGCAGGTTATGTTTGCATATTTTTTTGGTTAAATTATGTTTGCATATTTGCCTATTGCACGTGATGTTTCTGCATGTTATATTTGCCTATTGCATGTTCTTATTACATTTCACTTCAGGTCCTCCTGCAAAATACTGTAAAATGCTCGTAATTGACGTTTGGTTAAGATGCATGCCCTGATGATTATGATGGACAATGCGGCATGCTGCCGTGATGACATGCGGCATGTGAAGAAATACATGCGTTATGGTCTCATTCACAACTATGTTTCTTCTCACATGAATCGAGTCAATCGATACGACCCAAATTATATCTAAAAGACTACCTTTGGTGGTAAATAAATGATGGTCGTATTAAGTTTTGATACAAACATCAGGAAAAATTTTATAATGGAAAAATACAAACAACGAGTATTAACTTTTAGTACGATCGATCTCCGTGTGCCACGTCCGCGTGCGCAGCACAAGCCCTGAAAATGGGATAAGGCCACGCCATGGCCACGGGGGTTGGAGAGGCAGTCACGGTAGCGGCAACACATAGCAAACAGATGGCCCTGCATGGGTAAAGCATCTAACGCCGAGTGGTGCCACCAGTTTAGACAAAGGGAGGAGGTAAGAGAGATGGTCACGGCAGCAGCGAAACATGGCCAACAGATGGCTCAGCATGGGTAAAGCATCTGACGCCGAGTAGTGCCACCCGTTTAGATAACGGGAAGACATTATGCAGACAGATGATCCGCATGTGGTTGTTAGTTTTTTAAATGTAGTTTGTTGTTTGCTGATAAAATCGAACTGCATGACTCAATATTTATAGCGAGGAAAAATTAGGGTTTTTTTTAATATTTCATATATAGGCGGTTATCTCAACAAACAATATACTGATGGTTGGGTTGTGATGCAAGTGTAATGATGGGTCACTACTCGGGTCGTGTCAGTCCAGACTGTATGATTGTTTCTTCGAGGCATGAGCATACACGCGTGTTTCCCCTATGACCGACTACTACTGTTCGATACGACTACCCAATCCGTCTGTTCGATGCGCATACACGCGTGTTATTTATTACATACAGTCTGAACTGTTTGATATGACTAGGGGTTTTAACCCTAATAACCCACTTGGGTCGCAGCAATTTCAGGGTACACCACCGAAAAAAAAAAAAAAATTTGCACCTTATTACGACTAATATATAACTAATATACAACTTGACCGACTACTACTGTTCGATACGACTACTCAATCCGTCTGTTCGATGCGCATACACGCGTGTTATTTATTACATACAGTCTGAACTGTTCGATATGACTACTCATTCAACTTTACGATCTACGTTTGTTCTATATGACTACTCATTCAACTTTACGATCTACGACTATTAGATATGACTACACATTTACGACTATTCGATGCAAATTATCACTACGACCAATTTCCGTAAGATAACACCACGCTCCCATCCTAACAAACACACATACGCAATATTTAAACCATAATCAATATAACTTTCAGTAACATCAAAAAACTTCTTTAACTGACCACCTTGCCTTTTGGGCTTCGTGTTTTCTTTACCGGTGCTTCCGCAAGTACTTGCAACAACTAAAGCTACAGACATATCTCCGGGCTGGATGTGTCGTTGTGCATGGCTTCCGCCGCAGCTTCCACTAACCCCAGCACCAGACATATATCTCTCTACTTTCTGTCGCTTTCTTTCGCTTTCTGTCTTTCCAGTACGTTTTCGGCATGAGTAGTATTTATAAATAAATTGATTGATCTCAAGACGCACGTCCGGCTTGTCCCGGGGGAAAGAAAGGCCTTGGTTGGCAACCTGCATATATTGCAGGTTCTGCATCTGAAGGGGCACGACGCTTCGTTATTTGCATTTACGGGTACTTGTGAAAAACAAAACATACGTTTTTACATTAGTGATGAATTAATGATAATATTTTAATGTTCATTAAACAAGTAACGAAGCGACGTGCCCCTTCAGATGCAGGAGCTAATTAATAATATATTTATTTATTTATTTAATGTTCAACCGTTAACAACCTACCCCTTCAGACGTGTAAAAGTTTTCATAAGATTTGCACTTTTCAACGCAGGTCCGGGTATCGAAAGATAACAATGCCCGAAACCCTAAAAAGTAGGTTAACAATGCCCGAAACCCTAAAAAAAGTAAAAAGTAGTTGCTGGATGTCTTCAGCAAATCGTCCAGAAGAAGC